TGAGAATTCTGCTCAGGGCATTCTGTGCCACTCCTGTTCCTCCCCTGCTCTCGTTGGCAGTACTCTCCCAAAGCACACACCTGGCTTCGTCCGGAGGCAGCCGACATTTTTGGGGCGCTGGATCTTGGAGGAGCATCCACCCAAATCACCTTTATGCCCGAAGGTTCAGCCCTGATCCAGAATGAAGGCTCTGAGCTGACCCTGTACGGGTACAGGTACAGGATCTACGCCCACAGCTACCTGTGCTACGGGCAGGACGAGATGCTGAAGCGGCTGGCCAAGGAATTGATTGTGGTGAGCAGCTGCTGAGCCCTGCAGCGTCACAATGCCAAGCACACACCTGTTAATGCACGAAGTAAGGACAGGCAGGGCTCTTCTGGAGAGCCATCAGCAAGGACTGAGAGCAAGGACAGACTCCCTGGAGTGTGGCAGGGCAGATGTGGAGAGGAGCATGGGTACAATGGAATCCCAGGCTGGTTTGGGTTGGAAGGGACTTTAAAGATCATCTGTTCTGCCCCCTGCCATGGGCAGGGACACCTTCCACTACCCCAGGCTGCTCCAAGCCCCATCCAGCCTGGCCTTGGACACTGCCAGGGATGGGGAAAATGTCACAAGGGGCAGTTTGGGATCTTCTGGCTTCACATGGGGTGTGCAGAAGTGCCAGGACCAGGCTCTTAGAGGCGCAAAGTGCAGAGTAAGAGGCAAGGGGCACAAGCTGGAACATCTGAGTTTCCAACCAGACAAACAGGAAAAGGTTTCCCCAACAGGAATGATCAGATACTGGAATAAGACCCAGAAATGCTGTAGAGTCATTGTCTCTGGAGATCCTCAGAACCTGATGGTCGAGGCTCTGAGCAGCCTGCTCCAGTTGGTCATGCCTTAACAGGAGGGAGATCACAGGGAGCCTCCAGCTCCCCTGAACCTCAGCTACTCTGTGACCTCACAGCCTGAGAAATTTGAGCTGAAGACCTTTCTCAGGCCATTTTTTGTAAGATCAGAGGTGAAGAGCATCTTTATGGAGCTGCACCTCACCAGCAGAGCAGCCTTGGTGAGCCAGAAGGGTTTGCCCTTGCTGTATGGCCAGGAAAGTCCCATATGGGGACCCTGGATAGAGTTGGAGCTAGAACCAGAGCTAGAGCTGGTATTAGAGGTTTTAGCTGGTTTTAGTTTTGGCCTCTCTAAAGCTAGAGAGGGCTTTACACACCCCCAAAGAGGACCTTGTGGCCAGGGCAGAGACATGCTGGGTCCTTGAAACTGGTCTGCCTCTGTGGGAGAGGGAATGAAATAAAGCAGAGCGAGAATTAGCACTGGGCCTGTGCTGGGACAGCCAGCAAGGCCAGGACTGAGGGACAGGAGGAATTGGGAATGCGGTGCCTGGGCTTTGGGGAGGTGTTGGCCGTGTGCACACGCAGCCAGGAGGCTCTGGAGTGTTGTTATCTTGTTGTATTTCATATTTCTAGAGTCCCATACTGTCACAATCATATTTCTAAAGCCCCATACCTTCTCGGTGATATTTCTTGGGGGCAGTTCTTCACAGCACAGACTTCTTCTTCTGCTTGTTGCTGCTTCTTAATCAAAACTCCTTCCAAGCTCTCCCTGACCAGCCAGCCC